ACCCTAAACAACCCTAAACAACCCTAAACAACCCTAAACAACCCTAGACAACCCTAAATCACCCTAAATCACCCTAAATCACCCTAAATGACCCTAAATGACCCTAAACAACCCTAAACCCGAAACCTTAAACCCTAAACCCGAATTCTTCCCTGCCTCAGAGTTCGAGGTGATCTTCCTGTACCCTGAGGCCACCAAGGGCGGCCTTGGCTCAAAATTTTAGGGTTTAGGGTTTAGGGTTTAGGGTTTAGGGTTTAGGGTTTAGGGTTTAGGGTTTAGGGTTTAGGGTTTATAGAAATTGTATAGGGTTTGGGTCCCAAAAAGTTTTGACCGAAACGTTTTGACCGAAACGTTTTGACCGAAAGTTTTGACCGAAACGTTTTGTTTTTTGGAACTATGCTTTTCATTTTTGGGAGGGGGGAGGGGGCGGCGTGGAGTTGTAGGCTTTGGGGGCCAATTTTGGGCTTTTAATTGGGCTTTGGGGGAGCCAATTTTGGGCTCTGGGAAGTCCTAAAGTTTTGACCGAAAGTTTTGGTTTTTGGAACTAGTTTTTCATTTTTGGGAGGGGGGGGGGAGGCGCTGGAGAGGGGAAGGGGGGGGAGGAGAAAGGGGCGGGAGGAAGACGGGGGAAGGGGAGGGGGGGAAGCGCGAATTGGGGCAGGGGGGGTGGTGGGGAGATATTGTAAAATTTTGGAGGGGGGGTTTTGGGGGGGTTTGGGGGGGGTTTTGGGGGGTTTTGGGGGTTTTGGGGGGGTTTTTGGGTTTTGGGGGGGGTTTTGGGGGGGGGTGGGGGTTAGGCGGAGGGTTGTGGGTGGGGGTTTGGGGGGGTTTTGGGGGGTAGTTTTGGGGGGGTTTTGGGTGGGGGTTTTGGGGGGGGTTTTGGGAGGGGTTTTGGGGGGGGTTTTGGGGGGGGTTTTGGGGGGGTTTTGGGGGGGGTTGGGGTTTTGGGGGGGGTTTTGGGGGGTTTCGGGGATTTTTGGCGGGGGGGTTTGGGGGGTTTTTTGGGGGGGTTTGGGGGGGTTTTGGGGGGGGGTTTTGGGGGGGGTTTTGGGGGGTGGTTTGGGGGGGGTTTTGGGGGAGTTTGGGGGGGTTTTGGGGGGGGGGGTTTTGGGGGGGGGGGTTTTGGGGGGGGGGGGGGTTTGGGGGGGAGGGGGGGGTTTTGGCGGGGGATTGGGGGGGGTTTTGGGGGGGGGTTTTGGGGGGCGTTTGGGGGGGTTTGGGGGGGTTTTGGGGGGGTTTTCGGGGGGTTTGAGGGGATTTTGGGGGGGTTTTGGGGGGGTTTCGGGGGGTTTGGGAGTGTTTTGGGTGGGTTTTAGGGGGGGGTTGTGGGGGGGGGTTTGGGGTGTTTTGGGGGGTTTTGGGGGGGGTTTTGGGGGAGTTTTTTGGGGGGGTTTTGGGGGGGGTTTTGGGGGGGGTTTTGGGTGGTGGTTTTGCGGGGGGGTTTGGGGGGGGTTTTGGGGGGGGGGGGGGGTTGGAGGGGTTTTGGGGGGGGTTTTTTGGGGGGGGTTTTTTGGGGGGGTTTTTGGGGGGTTTTGGGGGGTTTTGGGGGGGTTTTGGGGGGTTTGGGGGGGTTGTTGGGGGGGGGGTTTTGGGGGGTTTGCGGGGGGTTTGGGGGGTTTTGGGGGGGTTTTGAGTGGGTTTTGGGGGGTTTTTTGGGGTGGTTGGGGGGGGGTTTTGGGGGGGGTTTTGGGGGGGGGTTTTGGAGGGTAGGATTGGGGGGGTTTTGGGGGGGGGGTTTGGGTGGGGTGGTTTGGGTGGGGGGGGTTTGGATGGGGGGTTTGGGGGGGGTTTTTTTTGGGGGGGTTTTGGGGCTCAGGGCCTCATGCGGTCTAATTTGGGACTTTTCGTTGGAGGGTCGAGTTTCGGGCCTCGTTTGTGGGCTTGACGTGTAGCCTAAGTTGGCCCAGAGGTATAAGTAAATTGAGCATTTGGTCTCCCGGGCGCTTTGGATTAATTTACTTAAACTCTGTATGTCAGCTGTTTAGACAAATATCTTGAAAATTCAGAATGATACCACATACAATTTCTATTTATTTTGTCTTGAGGGTTTAGGGTTTAGGGTTTAGGGTTTAGGGTTTAGGGTTTAGGGTTTAGGGTTTAGGGTTTAGGGTTTAGGGTTTAGGGTTTAGGGCTATTGCATGCGATGGCCCTTAGGGTTTAGGGTTTATAGGAAGTGTATAGGGTTTGGGCCCCAAAAAGTTGGACCGACAGTTTTGACCGATGATTTTTGGAACGAGTTTTTCGTTTTTGGGAGGGGGCGTGGGGGGGGGGGGGGGGGGGGTTTGGGCCCCGACCAAAACGTTTTGACCGAAAGTTTGGACCGAAAGGGTGGGGGGGGGGGGGGGGGGGGGGGGGGGGGGGGGGGCGAGACCCAGAGGTTTAAGTAGATTGAGGACTTGGCCTCAGACTTAAACTCGGCTTGCCAGCGTAGGGTAAGGCGACACTGAACCCTAAGCCCTAAACCCTACAACCAACACCCTCTGAAGAATATTCTGCTGAGTATGATCTTCTTAAACCCAATAAGGGAAGATAGCGTAATATGGTTGTGTACTATTTGCTTAAGGACCCCCCCCCCCAAAAAAAAAAAAAAAAAAAAAAAACAAAACAACCATATAAGGGGAAGAAAGGGACCCTTTTTAAATGTTTTAGGGGCATTCTTAAGCAAAGAGCAGTTCTTGCATAAGGCTTTAGACGTTGTCTTTAGGCCTTGGATCCCAAAAGCGTCTCGACGTACAGTCTGGCAGCTAGGAAGTTGGATTTCGTTGCCCGGGGGGCCCGGAATCCTCGTTGGGGCCATTTTTGGGGTCTGGGCAGGCCCCTAAACCGTAAACCGTAAACCGTAAATCCGAAACCCGATCCCCTAAACCCTAAACCCTCAAGACAAAATAAATAGAAATTGTATGTGGTAGCATTCTGAGTTTCCAAGGTATTTGTCTAAAGAGCTGACAAGCGGAGTTTAAGTATATTAATCCAAAACACCTCTGGGAGGCCAAATGCTCATTTTCTTTAAACCTTAAATTTCTGGGATCCTCTGAAAACCTTCCCCCCAACAGCCTCCCGCCCAGCTCCTAAAACTGTCGCTCAAAACTTTCTGGGACCCAAACACTATGCAATTTTCATGAACGCATTTGTCGAGTCCTGTTGGTTTGGGGCTCCCAGGAAGACGGCCTTGGGTTTACGGTTTAGTCTTAAGGGTTTAGAGTTCAATCTCAAAACTCGGCGAAACGAATCGGTCCAAACTCGAAAACTTCAATAAACAACCAACCCTAAACCCTAAACCCTAAACCCTAAACCCTAAACCCTAAACCCTAAACCCTAAACCCTAAACCCTAAACCCTAAACCCTAAACCCTAAACCCTAAACCCTAAAACCAAAACCCTAAACCCTAAACCCTAAACCTGAACGATCTTGTGGGCGAGTGGCATCGACTGCGCTGGTAGACGTCAACCCCGGGGCCGATAACCTCGAATCACCTGGCGCTCAGGGTTGAGGGTTGAGGGTTGAGGGTTTAGGGTTTAGGGTTTAGGGTTTAGGGTTTAGGGTTTAGGGTTGAGGGTTGAGGGTTTAGGGTTGGGACTTCATTCAGGCTTCGGGCTGCAAGGCTTGGGATGTGTCCCCCTTAGACTAAGAGTCCTTACTAGGGGTGATAGTTAGGGTTTAGGGTTTGGGATGAGATTCCGGTGTGTCTGTGCGTGCTTCAGGGATTGTTGAGGTTTTGTTGAGGGGAGGGGGCTCGTTTGGGCTCGGAGGTTTTGCAGGGGGGAGGCTTCAACCTAAACCCCCATTCCCCTTTGGGGTTTAGGGTTTACGGTTTAGGGTTTAAGGTTTAGGGTTTAGGGTTTAGGGTTTACGGTTTAGGGTTTAGGATTAGGGTCCAGTAGAATTTTGCTCGGGGTTGTTGAGGCTTAGGGCTTAAACCCTAAGAACTTCAAGCCCTGGGTTTGGGATTCGTTGGGCAGGCTTTCGGCCCGAGGCAGCACGAATGAAATCCTAGCACCCTAAACCCGAAACCCGGAACCCGAAACCCTAAACCCGAAGCCCGAAGCCCGAAGCCCCAAGCCCCAAGCCCGAAGCCCGAAGCCCGAAGCCCTAAGCCCTAAGCCCTAAGCCCGAAGCCCGAAGCCCTAAGCCCTAAGCCCTAAGCCCTAAGCCCTAAGCCCTAAGCCCTAAGCCCTAAGCCCTAAGCCCTAAACCCTAACTAAGGGGCAGAGGAGCCTGTGCGATCTGCTGACTGAGGCACGGAAGCTTTTGGGAGCTTGGGATGGCTTCGGGATTGACGTTTTTTCAGGCGGAGCTTGGGATGTTCCCCTTTTGCGAACAGTCCTTAATAGGGTTTAGGGTTTAGGGTTTAGGGTTTAGGGTTTAGGGTTACTATAATCCCTATTAAGGACTGCTCATATAAGGGGGAACATCCCAAGGTGGAGCGCGCAAACGGTTTAGGTACAGACTGGCTGGCTGAGAGAGGTCCCACAGGCACCGGCAACCCCTAACAGCCCCTAAAAAGGCCCCAAAACTCTAAACCAGGGCTTGCCGAAAACATCCGGTGTTTTCAGCAAAAGGCTATTAAAAGTAACATGACGGAATTAGCGGAAGCATATAGGACAGACAGTACAGGATATTACCGGACCGTCCGGTTTGATGGTTCCTTCTGCAGCTTCCCGGGGCTTTGGGGGGCCTTTTTGGGGCTTTTTGTTCTGGGGCATGCTAAACAAAGCACTTTAAACTCGGATCTTTCGTGCAGTGCCGGCTTGTTTAGACAAGAAGCTCTGTAAGTTCAGAATGACATTTTGGCATGCGCAGATGTTTACGTAAACTGAACATTTCAAATTCTTTTGGGCTTGGAGGGGCATTTGTAAGGCCATCGAGATGGGTCGAAGAGATTTCCATCCATTTTGCCCGAAGTTCAGGATTTAGAGTTTAGGGTTGCGCCGACCATTTTTCTCAGCTTGGCACTGCGTCGGGCGCGGCACACGTACATTTCCGCAGCAGATCCATGAAACTCATTTCACACGTCGAGTTGCCTCCGCATTCCAGGACGGCGTACTCGCCAGGAGATGTTGAATTTCTGCGCACTGCGCGTAGTCCTGTGCTGTTCTGTCATGTCTGTCAATGTATCCCATGTCAGCTCGTGCTTCGACCAAGCAGTGCAGTGCTTGTACGCGGGATTCATATGCCGCTCGGTGCAGGGCCGTCATTCCATGGTTATCAATGACATCTATCTCAGCCCTGACAGCCAGCAGCAAACATACCATCCTGGAATGCCCTTGATAAGCTGCACGATGAAGAGCTGTCCTTCCCTGCCTGTCAACCACATCCGTGTTCGCCCGGCACTTGAGCAGCAATGTGGCAATTTCCTCGTAGCCTCTGGAGCACGAAACGTGAATGGCCGCATAACCAGCGTTGCCCGCGTGATTTGTGTCTGCCTTCGCCTCCAACAGAACTTGCACGGCTCCTGCATGGCCCTGGTCCTTGATTGGGACAGCATCTGACATCCGAAAAAGAATCTGACAGCTTTCGAGTCAGCAACATCTGCGTTCAACTGTTCTTGGAACCGTAAACCCTCAACCCTTACTAAGCCCGAATCCCTAAACCCTAAACCCTAAACCATAAACCAAAACCCTAAGCCCTTGAACCCTAAACCCTAAACCCGCCATTAAGACCGCCTCTCTCTGGTACACAAGGTCATCACCCGGAATGAGTTCTAGGGCAATAGCCTCGGGCTAGCCGTCAGGGTTCAGGGCTTTGCGGGTAAGGATCCCTACTTGCGCTTCAGGGTGTGGGCTTTTCTGAGGGCCTGACTAGGATTCTTTAGGGTTCAGGGCTTAGGGCTTTTTAGGGCTTTTAGGGTTTTAAGGGCTTTTAGGGTTTTTCAGGGATTTTGGGGGTTTAGAGGCGGTTTAGGGCTGAGAGGTCCATTCATTGGGCAGAAGGAGCCACGGCCCACAGAAGTGACGTCTCCCCACCCGCATCCACCCAGTCGACGCAGGCCCGGGATTCCAGCAGCATGCGCACCACGGCGGTGTGGCCTCGTTGTAAGAAAGGTGTACCCTTCTGTGGTGTTCCTTACTTGGGGTGTTCCCCCTTTAACAGTCCTTAATAGGGATTACAATAGGGGTACCCAGAATGGCCCTTCAGACCCTCTTAAACGTGTTCCTGCATTTGATCCTCTTAAACCCAATCAGGAAAAGTAAGAAATATCCCAAGAGCCTTCCTAGGTACCCCTTTTTGGGGTTCGTTACTTTAGAAGGGAACCTTGAACCAAAACAAAAGGGCACACCACTGGGCTACCAAGGGTATGGCCTCGACATGAAGCCCCATGAAGAGCTGTCCGGCCGGCCTGGGAGACCCAACACGGCGGACTGACATGTAAGGGGGCAGCTGCTTAGGGTTTAGGGTTTAGGGTTTAGGGTTTAGGGTTTAGGGTTTAGGGTTTAGGGTTTAGGGTTTAGGGTTTAGGGTTTAGGCTTTAGGGTTTAGGGTTTAGGGTTTAGGGCCCACGTTGGGATGGGTGCTGGGTAGTCTGCCTTGCACTGAGCTCGGCATGATTTATTAAGGGCAAGCAGGCTACCCGACGCCTTGTCCGGCAAGTCCGTTGTGGCCCTACTGCGCAGAAGCACCTCCACGACGTCCAGGCGTCCCAGGGCGGATGCCCAGTGTAGAGCCGTGCGCGCAAGGCCGTCGTCGATGTTGAGGTCGGCATCTGCACTCGCTTCCAGTAGCAACGTGGCGATGTGCGAGTGGCCCCTCTTCGCGGCAAGGTGGAGGGCGGTGGCACCACGCATGTCGATCTTGTTCACCTCGGCCTCTGCCTCCAGCAGCATACCTACGATAGCCCCGTAGCCTCGGCGGCATGCGAAGTGCAGGGGTGTCACGCCCATGGCCCAGAAGCCCGTGTCTGGGTCAAGGGGGCGCTGCAGCATCGCCTCAACCTCCTGCACACGACCACGATCCGAGGCGATCGCCAACTCAAAGGTCTCCTCCTCTGAAACGTGGACAAAGTCGTGGAGTACGACCAGCTGTACGTCGACGACCTTCCCCAACCATTCCTCATCCTCCAAGACGGCGCCCCCGTGAAGAAGGCGCTGCCAGAAGCGAGGATAGCCGGTTAGCCAATGAAGGTGCTTCTTCAAGGAGATCACGTCAGGAAGCTCCTGTCGGCTTGTTGTGGCCACCAGTTCCCCAGAAGTCCACCAGACATGCAGATCATCCGACATGAAGAGACGGCGTTGTAACTGTCGACAGGCGTGCGTTCACATGGGGGGAGGGGGGGGCTCGAAATGGAACCTTCCTTCTAGTCTAGATTGCAGCATCCATTCCTCATAGTTCATATCTGAGAGGCGCAGAATTCATATCAACCCATAAACTTTTGCCTAAAGCCCTAAGCCCTAAGCCCTAAGCCCTAAGCCCTAAGCCCTAAACCCTAAACCCTAAACCCTAAACCCTAAACCCTAGTTTAAACACTTTTCTCAAGCCTGGCGCCTCAATGCTGTCGCAAGAGGGGAACTCGTGGATAATGACTTTCAAGTGTCCACCACCCTTCCCGCGATGGCCACATGTGCCGGCTTCCGACTCGAACCATACTCTGCCAAGACATTACGCATGAAAACAAGTGGTTTAGGGTTTAGGGTTTCGGGTTTAGGGTTTAGGGTTTAAGGTTTAGGGTTTAGGGTTTAGGGTTTAGGGTTTAGGCTTTAGGGGGCTCAGGTTTTCGAGGTTTCCGTTTGATTTCAGAACGCGGAACAGCGAAGCCTTTTACCGTCGTGAAGCTGGGTGGGCTTGCATGATGTGAGTATTATAGTGAGGGCCAGGATTCAGTTTCGGGTTTAGGGCGTAGGGTTCAGGGTTTAGGGTGCCCAAAGCCCTAACTAACCCCAACTAACCCTAAACCCTAAACCGCAGGTACCTAGACCTGACTCTTGTGGCTCCAATAACTGTAAGAATGATTTGGTTGACTTCCCCAGCCCAATCCCGGCCCATGAAAGTCACATTATGAATCACAGGGGGGTCCAAGGGAATGATGGTTTAGGGTTTAGGGTTTAGGGTTTAGGGTTTAGGGTTTAGGGTTTAGGGTTTAGGGTTTAGGGTTTAGGGTTTAGGGTTTAGGGTTTAGGGTTTAGGGTTTAGGGTTGAGGGTTGAGGGTTTAGGGTTTAGGGTTTAGGGTTTACATCCAAACCGTGGCCTCAAAAAAGCGCTGTAAACCACACAGAAACCCCCACACCCGAACACTACTTCTTGCTTGTCCTTACAGGGACAACGCCTTGGTGGGCTTAGGGCGTGGTAAGCCTAAGAAACATACGGCGAAGGATCTGCGTGTTTCAAGCCTTCGCCAGCAACCAGGAGGTTCAGATGCTCCATGTTGAACGACACATCGGAGGCCTCATGGGGGGACTGCATGAGCTCATGGTTTCAGGGTTTAAGGGTTTAAGGGTTTAAGGGGTTAAGGGTTTAAGGGTTTAAGGGTTTAAGGGTTTAAGGGTTTAAGCGTTTAAGGGTTTAAGGGTTTAAGGGTTTAAGGGTTTAAGGGTTTAAGGGTTCAAGGGTTCAAGGGTTCAAGGGTTCAAGGGTTCAAGGGTCAAGGGTTCAAAGGGTTTCAAGGGTTTTAGGGTTAAGGGTTAAGGGTTTAAGGGTAAGGTTTAGGGTTAAGGGTTAGGGTTAAGGGTTAAGGGTTAAGGGTTAAGGGTTAAGGGTTAAGGGTTAAGGGTAAGGGTTACGGGTTGGGGTTCGGGGTTGGGGTTGGGGTTTTGGGGTTTGGGGGTTGGGGTTTGGGGTTTGGGGTTTGGGGTGGGGTTGGGGTTTGGGGTTTGGGTTTGGGGTTTTGTGGGGTTGCGGGTTGGGGTTGGGGGTTTGGGGTTTGGGGTTTGGGTTAGGGTTTGGGTTTAGGGGTTTAGGGTTTAGGGTTTAGGGTTTAGGGTTTAGGGTTTAGGGTTTAGGGTTTAGGGTTTAGGGTTTAGGGTTTAGGGTTTAGGGTTTGGCGTTCAGGTTTCTGGGCTCAGGCTTTCAGGGCTGGCAGTGGAGGGACAGAGGGAGGAGGGTGCTGTTCGGTGCTGGAGCAACACAGCGTCATCCCACACCCCCAAAGGGTTTAGGGTTTAGGGTTTAGGGTTGAGGGTTGAGGGTTGAGGGTTGAGGGTTGAGGGTTGAGGGTTGAGGGTTTACATAACCCTTAAACAATCTTCCGCTCAGGAACGAATCATGACTAGGCTCCTCATTCATCTAGGAGCAAGATGGGGTTTAGGGTTGAGGGTTCAAGGGCTAAAAGAAGGGATCCGAACAAACCCTCCTGATAAATGAATACTGAAAAGATGAACCCTAAACCCTAAACCCTAAACCCTAAACCCTAAACCCTAAACCCTAAACCCTAAACCCTAAACCCTAAACCCTAAAGCCTAAACCTGCGAATCCCAAGTCTGCAGAGTTTCGAAGATGAGGGGGAGACGGGCAGTGCAAACATTGTGGCAGAGAGGTGGTTTGTCATGGGACCACGAGGAGAAAAGAACCCCCAACATAAGCGACTCTTCGGGGATAATAGGGCAAGCCCCTAGACCCTAAACCCCAAATCTAGATCCTAGACCCTAAACCCTAAACCTTACAACCCTGAACCCTTCTATCTGGAAAATCTGGGCGCCGGCCCCTGGGGTTCAGCGGAGTGCCTCGTTTTTGGTACCTAAACCTTAAGATGCCAGCATCCGCAGCAACCTGTGTTTAGGGGCTTA